GTGATATCTAGAATTTGAATTTGCCACCAGTTGTTTCTTATGGCATCCTAGGCTGGAATATGATTACACATGGGCTGGCCTCAGAGTATTCAGTTGATTTATATTCTCAAGGAACATTAGATTGGTGCTTGTCTCCTCGGAAGTTATGAGTTATGAAAGTCCTCTGTGCTCATTTGGAGGAAAGCATACTGAGTCTTCCATCTCCCATGCTTAGCTATGCTTGTGCAGAACTTATGCTTCAAAACCTCTGTAAAATACTGCACATGCTGTAAACTTCACAGAAATTTTGCAGTAGCAGGTAGCAAGAGCAGCAGCAGAGATTTAGTTTGCTAAATGCAAAATGCTTCCTAGTGCAGCACGTTCTGTCAAAAATGCTGGTCAATATTCCAATAGGATAGCAATGTTTATAGTATCTAATGATAACAGTAACAAGAATACCAGAACCTTATATAATGGTTCTCATTAGTACACTGCATGGTGATTTTCAAAAGAGGTCTAGCTATCCTCATTCTACAAATGAAGAATCATAGAACGGTTTGGGTTGGAAGGGACCTCAGAGATCATCTAGTTCCAACCCCCATGCTACGGGCAGGGACACCCTCCACTAGACCACGTTGCCCAAAGCCTCATACAGCCTGGTCTTGAACACTTCCAGGGAGGGGGCATCCACAACCTCTCTGGGCAACCTGTTCCAGTGCCTCACCACCCTCACAGTAAAGAATTTCTGTCTAACATCTAATCTAAATCGACCCTCCTTCAGCTTAAACCCATTACCCCTTGTCCTGTCACTACACTCCCTGATAAACAGACTCTGATCATCTTTCCTGTAGGCCCCTTCAGATACTGGAAGCTGCAATTAGATCTCCCCGGAGCCTTCTTTTCTCCAGGCTGAACAATCCCAACTGTCTCAGCCTGAAGCTGAGGAACAAAAAGGAAAAAAGTGATTTGCCCATATTTATCTAGAGGTTCACTGGCAGAAATAAAACCTGTGTTAGTATGATTTTGTGCCCATTACGTGGTATTGCTCTCTATCACTTGTCCCCCCAAGTTCTGAAAGTTGCTTGCATGAGAAACTTTCCTGACCCTATATAAAAGTGTAAGCCATAGCCAGGTATTATAAAGTCAATTCAAGTGTCTATTTCTTTGCCTTTTGCTGCAAACTACAAGTCTTCTCCCTGAAAAATGGTCTCAGTCACTGAAAAATGTAGATTCTGCTGCCAAGGATCAAAATTTATTTGTTGTTGCTAGTTGTGAACTAATGCAGAGGAATACAGAGTTTGTATTTCAGTAATAGTTAATTGTACAATAGTAAGAGGTTATGAATGGAATTGAAGTCTGCAGGGGAATTTTTTCTTCCATGTGTACATCTTTTCCTTGTTCCAACTGCATCTCATGTCCAGGATGCTTTGCTTTATTTTCTTTTATTCCTTCTCACTGACTAATCACCTGGGATATTACTTGAAGCAGCCTACTTGACTTACTGCCGCTCTTTTGACTTCCTGAAAAGAAACACAATGAGCATGAGGAAAACAGCACACTAAAGTAGAGAATGAAAGAAAAAGAAGCGCAAGGAATCAAAAGAGGGAAAAAGGCAGAGTAGATAAACATTCACCGGGAACCACAAAGGAAGAAGCACTGAACAGAGGCAAGTGATTTACTATTGGGGAGTTCACTAGAATTCGTGCTCTGTATTCCAAACGGGCCTTTTCCCAGTCTCTCCCATGCTATTCTCCTTCAGTCACTACTACAAGCTGTCTCACCTACTCACCTCACAGCAGAAGTCATCTTTAGTCCTTGCAGAACACTGAGACATGTGAAAAGCCTGTGCATAGCTGGTATCAGTTGACATGACATTGTCATACCCCCAGGCAGCTGAGAAGTATGTGAAGATCATTTCCATTCTCTACTGAAAGCTGATCAGCAGGTTGAGAAGACAACAGAGTCTGCGGGTCTAAGCAAGCCCAGGAAGAAGAGACGCTGCCTTTGTCTCAATATGGCAAATTTGGGAATTGATAGCAGAATGCGGACTGGGAGAAGCATGATCACAAAATGATGGAAAAGTAGGGATACATAATTGCCCAGGAGGAGGAATACATCTTTGGAGGAAGGTACTGTTTAAAAAGAGGAAGAGGCACAGAGAAGAGTTGAAAGAAGGTGGAAAGAGAGAGAGAGAAAAGGAACAGGAAAGCTGATAAGCTGTGACTGGGAAAAAGGAGCAAGGAAAGAAGCAAAGATGGTAACGTAAAGAAAACAATAGGAAATCGCCTATTTTTTTCCCCTGTAGAAAATATGTGCAAATATATTACTACAAAATCAATATCTAAAAGTAATTGTTTATACAGAATATAAAATGGAGACAAAACTCTAGAGGGGAAGTGGCTGAAATAAATAGGCAGGTCCCTATGTCCCCTTCCCTCAATGCAACAAATCCAAATGCCAGATTTGTTAAGACAGGTGTATTTTATTTTTTTCTGAATGACATTATGGTTGCATATGTGTAATACGAAATATATGAAACATCTGTTCTCATTGCTTCACTACTTCTCTATTATTACAGTTTTCACAATAAAATCACAAGAAATACAATATTGCAGCACTAAGTACCAGTAAAATATAATTTAGGTGTTTTATCACTATATGTATGTCATGGACTATTTTAAAATACAGGAAATTAATTTGAAATTAGAGTATAATTAATCTAGTACTTAGCACAAGTTTGTTATTGCTGATTAAATAATATGTAATTCTTTGTCTCCATTTAATGTGGAATGCTGAAATAAGTTATTGAGCATGTACTAATTTATATGTCCTCACAGCCCATTGCTCTCTGTCAGTACCCCCATTTCTAAATGAATGGCTGTTAAGAGAGGAACAGAGTGAAAAAGAATGTAACAATGGGATATTAAAAATGATCCATATACCAAAGTGTATGTAGAGAGAGATGCAACAAGATTTGCAGACAGATAGACGTGCATTAGTGGACAGAGAGATGTGTGCACACAGAAAAACTGAGAAAAGCAGTTAAATGAGAGCACGTTGTAAAACAAAGTACTTTTCTTCCAGGTCCTGTAGATCACTAAGATCACCAGCTAGCAATTAGGACCAAAAATTGCATGCAGCCCACTGGCCAGCTACAAAGAGGAGTACGCAGTAGCATCACATTCACAAAAAAGGAGGTTGGTTGAACAAGACCGCATTCAAACTTTTGTGATGTAGCAAAATGAAGAAGTATGCAGAGGAAGACCATAAGAGCTTTGATGCAAGAGACTGATTCACTCACATGCAGAACAATCACGAGTTTAGACACAAAAGGGCATCAATAAGCAAAGTGGCTTCAGTTTTTGTCATTCTTTGGCAGGCACAGATAACAGTGTTTAATCACTGACAAGAAATGGAGAAGTATAAACAAGGGGAACTGTGAAGATTAATAAAGACTTTCAGGTATGTACATGTTCCAGCCGGATATTCTGTAGAGATTTGTGCAGAAATGCAGGATGTTAGAAAGGCCTGTAATGCTCATGTCAACATGACGTTGTAGAGGGTGCTCTAAAATGTGTCCACGTTGAGTGGACTTGAGTCCGGACCTCATGCTTAAGGACACTGCGGACACACTATCTGGAGATAAATTAATGCCAGACATGGGATTTTGGGAAGCCTTGCAGCACACTGGAAGAGGAGGTATGGGCCAACATTATCTCTTTGAACCATCCTGGGCCTGCAGCTTTCTCACCCTTTCCACCATCCTGTGTTTTATCTGATTTTTGCAGTGAAGTTGCAATGGCTGCCATCAGCCAAACAAGTCAAACATCAAGGCCTTTCTAGAAGAAACCTGACACTGAACCCTGGAAAGTAAGGTGTGATCACTGCAGGGAGTGAGCACAGGGTACCTTCTAATAACATGGCCATACAAGTGCCGATCTATTGGCACTGTGGTCATAGCAATATTTGTTCTAAAACTCCCAGCTCATGAAGTTTCAGCTTCTCTCATCTACTACTGAAGGAGGAACAGCAATGAGGAACTGAGTACATATCAGAAAAACTCATACCTGAAGTCAGGAATTTTTTTCCACTTTTTTGCTTAGTTGTTTTTGTCCTAAAAAAAAAAGTTCAGGAAAAAACATTATGCCTTTGTCAACAAACTCAGGACAAAGTCTTACCCTAGTAATGTCATTATGTACTAGGATCAGTGTGAAATAGGTGCTATTTTAAGCCCTTTCTGTCTGCAGTAGAAACATATATTGCTAAATGATGTACTAAGCCTTGTTGAAGTGCAGGCACAGTAATACATAGAGATATTGGAATGTTTTAAACTCCACATATGAGACACATCTGAACATAGCACACATTTGAACACATCACTTAGAGCCTAGGTGTAGCTTGTGAAGTGATTATGTTGAAGTCTTTTTCTTTGTTGTCATGCAGATGCTCATGGAAGTGACAGAGTTTTCATTTCCTTCTGCCATCTAACTTTTGCTTGCCTAGTTTGTGCAACACCATTGACAAAAAAATGTGCTCAAGCCAGGATGGATATAGCAGTGAAGCAGATACAGAAAAGACAGATTTCTGGTGCCAGGACATGTTGTTGATTTGGGCAGAAAGGAAACACTGAGTCTACCCCACGTTATATGATTCTCTCATGGGTGTCTAAATCAAAGCTACCTGTATGCAGATCCTTCAAGCATTCAAGGAGACCACTAGCACTTAAGTCACTGAACATTCATGCACTTTTGCTTGATTGCTTGTCTTTGTGAATCCAGGGGGTGGGAGGGTGGGCAGAGGGAATGGCCTTTCAAAAGTCTCTAAACATCTGACAACCAAAGCCTGGATACTTGGAAACCCCACCCTCTATTCTTCAGCTTCCTAGTATTAGGAAAATCACAGTAACCCTGAAAAGGTGTTGCAATAATATATTTTCTGAAGACAAAAACATGACACATTTTACTTTTCAAAGTCAGCAGCAGAATCTAAGTATATCAGAATTGTTTTCCAAACATACCTACCCTGTTTTCCTCTTTTCTGTGCTTTTGCTCTTCTTTGTATCCAGAGGATCTATATTGTTTGACTGCATGGTGGTTTCTTGCCTGGTTGGTTTCAGGGAGCTGTGGAAGGCTTCTCCTTTCCTTCCACTCTCTTCTGTAGGACTCACTGTACCTGAGAGGGGAACTTGGTTGGAGGAGGTTTGCTTAGTAACCACTTCTTCCTCCGTTTTGGGGTTAGGCACATCTTGTGGATTGTCTCTCTTGAAGGAAAAAGGAAGGATTAACAGATACAGTACTAACTGACGTAAAAAAAGAGCTTTACACAGAGCTGATCAGCACAACTGGAATTTTGTGATAATTTCCTATATAGTAGTCCCCTATATACTCTGCTATAAAGTGGTGTCAGACAGACCATCCATAGGAAATGTGATATATTAATCTAGAAGAGACACTTATGTTTCTCCTACATTATCCATTTGTTGGTGTTTATTGGCCTACAGCTTTGGCTAAAGGTGACTATGCAATCCATCAAGGGATAACAGGTCTCAAAGCTTAACCTCTGAGAGCTGTTTTTGGCTTCGCTCCAAGTTCTCTCCTCCTGATTCATGTCCAGGACTCCTTTATCTCCAGGTTATTCTCCTCCTTTTGGTCATATTCAGAAGTTAAGATCTTTGCTCTCCCTCCTGTCTAGATTTTGAGATCGATCCCTGCTAAAATCTTTCTAAGCCTCCTGCTTCAATTAGCTGAGGCAGGGATACCTGTAAGTCTCTCATGTGCAGACAGCTTTCTGTCTAAACAGGAAGAGGCCAGGGAGGATGTAATAATGCAAAGGAAAATCCAAACTCAAAAACTGTCAGTAGAAAAGTCAATACTGAGTGACAGCCAAAACCTCAAGGTATTGAAACACTGATGAACGTGTGACTGGAAAAAGTGAGATGTCTATTCTGCAAAGAAAAATAGAGATTCTAAGTCTGGATCATGATTTTAATGTATTGAATCACTAGTAACATCTGCTTTACACGCAGAAGCAACATTCATGTCAGCCCAGTTTATACCCAGAAGTTGGTACAAGGATCTAGTCTTTGACATCACATAAGAGAGAAAGCAGAAAACCCAGAAGAAAGGTGGCTATGTAGGGATAGTTTAAGCAGGAAAATATAAAGAAATTTTATAAATCCTATACTTACTTTCTCACAATCTTGACCACCAATCTCACATTCTTGACCACCAATACATTTGCAGGATGTGGCTGTGCAGATTTTTCAGGCAAACCTGAGTCCTATACTTTCTGCAAATCTAATCTGAATATGCTAGTTTTTACCCTAGATTTTCTTCAGTCATCCCCTTACCTCATCACTGATTTTTCTTGAAAGAATCATCTCTCACAGTTGTCTCCTCTCTCCAAATTATATTTTTCTAGTTCCCTTGTAATTTTTCTGCTGTATGTACACAGACTTGTTCCTTCTCTCTGCTACCCATGGCCAGATGGGAGCTCCTAAGTGCAGAGAAAAGATGTACATGCAGCACCGTGACACTGGTTTTTTCTTCTCCCTGTGGATGTGCCTCTGCTTGGCTGGGAGCTGGGATGGCTTGAGTGGGAATTAAAGACCCATCAGTGCCTGTGCTGACAAAACATTGTTTGCTTAGAACTTAGGGGAAATCACTTTAGATAATGTTGAGCAGCATCATTAACCATGCAAGTTCCTTCATAAGTATGACTCTAAAGTAACAGGTCTCGTCTGTGCTTTAGTGAAATTTCTGTATGTGATATTCTCTGTAGGATCTCCTGAGGCATTTTTGCTGACCCTCACTGTTCTCCTTGTTTCTCTTAGCTACAGCGAGCAGCTGCCTTCTGCCTGTCTGGCTGCCCGCTGTAGCATTTCCCCCAGGAACTTTCTCTTTCTGTCCTTTGAATGGATTAAATGCCTTTGCCCTCTTTGCTTATTAGTGGTCAGTCCCTGTGTGAGTCTCAGCTGTGCCATGCCTTTCCTTCTCTGCTTTTTTTTTTTCAGTGGGTTGGAAAAAAAAACCCCACCAAAAAGAACCGTTTAAGAACATACACCCAACTATGAGGGAAAACTAAACACTGAACAATAAGTAGTATGCTATTTATTGATTCACAAAAATTTATCAGGCCTATGATGTGCCTAGCATTCTCACTCCCATTGCCCTGAAATTTTGTAGGAGTTTACAACAAGCCACCTATTTTGATAAAGAGAATGGTAGCTCCTTCAAAGCACGCAAAATCTTTGTCTTGAGAGACAGTAAAGAATATTGGCACAAGTGATACTTTCTGGTCGGTCAGCTTGAATTATTGACATCTATTTGCTAAAGACTCACTTTTTCTGATGAGTTGTTTGCGCTGGGAGCTTCCTTGTGACACATGCCAAAATCCCTGCATTTTATGCTAACTTCAGTATTGCTGGTATTTTCTGGGGGTTTCAGGAGAGAGATGAGTTGCTGCCAGAGGTGGAATAGGTGTTGTTGCTGGTCTGGCGGTGCACAGAGCTCTAGATAGTAGGAACGGCCATTTACTAATTTTAACATGAGGTGATGGTTATCTGTGCTGTGGACAGAGAGTTCCACAAATTTCAAGGGGAAGAACCTATAAAAAAAAAGGAGAAACTCATTGTTAAGCACAAGTGGAGATTCCTCTCGAAGATACTGTGTCTATCAAACCTACAGATAGAATAAGACTGAAAGTGAGAAGCTGGAATAGGAAGCTGCTGCTGAGTGGATTTGGACACTCTCCTGAGTACCTCTGGCTGATTGTGGAAGAAATGCAGGGCAGCAGCATACAGAATGGAGGCAGAGGAAGTTGGCTTCTTTACAATTCCTTTATTTCACTGCCTTATTCCCGGCAATCCTGTACCCCCAATATCCCTACTGTCTTTCTGCTTCTGATATATTTAGAAAAAGGTTTATTAAGTATTCCTAGTCATCATCTATCTATATGCATGTGGGTAATGTTGGCCTGAAATGATGATCAGAGTGGGGCCTAAACATCTATACTTAAACTTAAATGATTCCTCTAAATTTACTGTGCTAGTGCTCGGAGAAAGAGTCAGTGCAAATAAACTGACCCTTTAAAGAAGGAAAATGCTGTGTGGAAATTGGAAATACATTAATATTTCTTATTTACTCTTCAAAGAAATATTTAATCCTTCTTGGTGCTAACTGACCTGGTAAGTGCTAGCTCTTCCATATGGCATGGCTTCTCTGAGAGTTTCCAGAAGTTTGTTGTACTTTCCTGTGGAGACACGGGCACCTCACGCGCTACCAGCATCGCATTGGGCATTGGTGAACTGGGATTGGCAGCACAGATGCCGATGGTCACGCAGCTGGGTCGGTTATGGACAGAAATTGGTTCCCCTCTTCGATTAATCTGAACAACAAAAAAAAGTCCCATCAACACTAACATTTGCCGTATGATCTCACAGACAATATACTACCAATACATTTTATGGTGTTTTTGACTTGGGGGCCCTAGAGCTTATGTGCTGGGTTAGTGTGGAGAGAGTAGAATGTGGAATAAGGAGACAGAAATGTCTATGCATGAAAAGAGAGGAAAGAAGCTTAATAATGATAAAAGAGGACTGGAAGTCACTGGCTCTTGTATAGTCCCTATCACTGGGTATCTGATTGCTGCAGTCAGAAACCTCTTGAATACCATTATCTTGAATTTCTCTTAATGTAAACATGATGGAAGATGCATTCTCTTCTGATTCACTGTCTTTGTCAGCATTACTGTGATATTAATGAGACTTGGTTATGAACCAGGATCCTGCTAGGTGCTGGTTAAAGACAGAAAGGAAAAATATTCCAGGTAATTTATCTGTAAGATATGAAATTACAGAAAGAGAAAAATGAGACAATACAAGGAGATAAGAATAAGTTTATAAATATGATTGAGTGACATGTTATGTACTATTGTCAGGGTTTGGTTTTGATAGACATCAGAGAAAAAGTGTGTCCTAAGAAGGAATTTTAAGGAGGGACAGTGCATTAAATTTGTGGATATCTAGTAGAATCTCCTCCCTAGTGTAATAGACAGTATGTAAAAAAGATCAAAGGCCTTTTTTTTCCCCATTTTAATGTAAATGAGTCAATGATGGAGCTGTTTTCTTAGGATGATTGGTTAGGGCAACTGCCTCCTTGATAGTAAATGAGGTCTGATAAATAAAGCAGGGATAAATCACAAAGTACCTTGAAAATAGAGACTTGTAGCTAATTAACATTCTGCATGTGTATCAACAGGGAAAGATTGAATTAATCAAGGCAAAACCAAAGGATGTTGCAATTATCACAAAGTGAGGTGATGAAATCCTATCAAAAACACAGTTGAGATACATCACATTAATAGAAGTCAGATGTTTTAGACACACCGTGAACGCACTATTGTAGCTGTAAACTGCTGCCAGAGCCTTGCAGTGTTCTTTGGCCAGTGCTTAGGGTAAGGGGCATGCAGGGTAGTGCTATTGCCTCCAAGGATACTAGAAGTTGCAAGTGGGGAGAGATTTTCTGGGGAAGGCTGGCTGCCATTTAGGCTAGGCTGAACTGATATTGATGGCTAAAAACTTTAATGAGATAGCACAGAACCAGAAATTTGCTAGAACAGTCCTAGCTGTTGCTACAAGGAGGAGTTGGGACTGACAAGGAAGGGTGAAAACACCACTTTTTGTCCTTCTCTAATTTGAAGCATTGCTGTTGCTGGGTTTCTGGACTACTGCCTATAAAGTGTGAGCAGAATGAGTCTATAAGAGTAGGGAAACATTATATCCATATGTATGTAGTCAACAAAATAACTATAGTGAGAATAAATGAGCGAGGAATACCTGTTGAGGTGAGGGAGTAAAAAAAAAAAAAAAAAAGGGAAATCATTGCAAGCAATTTTATCTTGACCATGCCAGATGATTTCACTTGAATTACTTTTTACCTGGATAAACTTGCTCTCGAAGATGGGAGCAGAAGTAAAAGGAGGATATTCCCCTTGGCTAAGAAGTCTCTGAAGGTCACCCATAACGGACACCTGACTTGAACTGATGCTCTTAAAATCAAACTTGCTATTCATTTTACCTATCCACAAAACAAAAATAAATCTACAAGTTAAAGAGAATAGAGATAAAAAGACATGTTAAAAAACCCCTGATGATTATGAAAAGAAACAAACATAATCCTTCCTGATAGGTTTTATCATATTACTAAAGAGCAGAACCTCCCCCCAAAACACCTGTTTTTAAGAACATGCAATCTCAAGTGAAAAGGGGAACTTAGTAAGGCTTTCTCACAGCTCTTTACTCCTCGTTTACTATTTATTTAATGAAAAAGGGCTTGTAAATCTATAAACACTGGTTTGCACATGCTATTCTATACTTCACTATGATCTTGTTTATAAGTAATCTTGTATATTTTTGCCACTGTTAAGATAATATTTTCAATGACGTATTTTTTCACATGAGTATAGTGACATACTTTGCAAATAACAGTAGAAACCCTTGAGCTGTTCTCAGTGCTAGATAGTGACTTCTATCTTTGTACCTCTTGGTTCACATATATTTTTATCAGGAGTCAAGAAGAGGGCAGGACTTAGGAGACATTCTGAAGTAAAAAGTCTCTAGCAGCTGACCAGGCTGACTTTAACACAAAAGCTGGTGACTGACTCACTGAGGGGAAAAAAAATAATTTCAAGGCTGCTCATCAATTACATTTCATAAAGTTTTATTAAACAGCTAATTTGTATTAACCCAAGTAGGTGCAAAAGTCAAATGATTTGTTCACAATTGCTCAGTAAGTACCAGGAAGAACAGAAATACCCTTCTGCTGGGTTTTTAAAAAAATAGATGTAGTAAACATCTACTTCTCATTCATACCTTGTTTCACTTAGGTAAATCCATTTCTTACACAGAGGAGAATGTCTGAGGGAAGAGAGGACACAAGCGTGCTAGTCCCTTGCACAGAGCCCGCTGGAATTCTCGCAGCACTAGAAATCTATGATTGGCAGCATCATCAGGCACAGTCTTGATGATATGGTTTCCCTGCTCAAGTTTCTTTAAGGAGTGATGATATGAAGAGAAGTGGAACGTGAATGCATGTACAGGAGGCAGCAAGTTTTGACATAACAGGCAGGCAGGGTGGTTTGGAAGAACTCAGCCTCATCACTGCTGGCATCACAATACATCACCCGGTTTGCACTCCCACCAGTTCTAGCAGCAATTCCATTTCTTGGTTTCATCAGGGCATAGTGGTAACAGGTAGCATGGATTCACCTGTAACACAAGCACATTCAGGGCATGATAACATCAGAGATTTTTGCATAGGTATTGTCCATGCAGTGCAGGTTGCCAGGGAACAGCAGGAGTTGTTCTGCTCCACAGGGAGCCAAGGACGACAACAGCAGAGGCATTGCCTTCAACAATCAAGGCATAGTCCTTCAATTCTGTAAAATTCAAAGTGAATTAGCTGAGCAGGACGGTGGTAACAGGATCCGCTGACAGACGCGGACAAGACAAGGTGCAGATCTGAAGTCCATCCTGAGACTGTTCCAGGAGTCCCAGTCAGGAGCAGCAGCAGGCAGGGCTGGAGACAGGACTGTAACAGATGTCCAAGGAAGTCCACCCAGGAGTCAGAGTTAGCAATAGATACACCTACAGCTTCTCTTAAAAAAGGGAGTATGTGCCCAGGCCAGGGCTTAAGTATATCTCCCAGACTCACGGGCAGGAGTATGGGGTGGAGATCCCAGGTGAGGCTGGTCAGGGCAGTTAAGGCCTGTTGGTCCACTCAGAGCCTTGGCCTAAGGGTTAATGAGACAATTTAAAATAGAGCTTGTGTTCATGTGTCTTGCTCTGGTTTGTAAATTTTAGCTTCTCTCTATACATTCTTTTGCCAGAGTAACCTTTTAGATCAGCCAGGTGATGTCATAATCAACCTATGATGTTAACTCCTTTTTTTCACCTTATATAATCATACTGCTGCTTCCAACTCAGCTTGGTGCTTGGACAGGGTTCAGGCCATGACTGAGCACCAGGCTGGTTGAAGCAGAATCAATACTGCAAAATGAGGGTTACGTTGTCTGGCAGTTTGAAGAACTGTTAAGCAATCTCCTTTGCAGGTACACAGCCTCCTTTGGATAGGTACGTACCCACCCTTGCTTAGGTAGGGCCCACCATAGGGCAGCTTCAGGACTGTCTGATAATACTATGCACTGACATAGCAATGTCCATTAGAAATGCTTCCTGCTCTCTCCACTGTACAAGACAACTCTGATCCAGCATGGAAAACAATGGTGCTTTTCTTTCCCAGATGGATTTCAGCTGCGTGATATACATGGCCAGAGAAGGATAAATAGCATCACTCTAGCAAAACCACCAACAAACAGCCCTTTTTCACAATTGAATTGCGTTTCCCTCTCTAGCCAATGGAAATATAATTTGAACACCACCACCGTAAGTGACTGAGCTGGAGGAGACTGACTCCACAGTCAAGTGGTCACAGCTCTTGCCTGAACCATGTAAGGTGGAAGTCTTGTCTCCCCACCCCAAATACACACGTACAGAATCACAGAATGGTACAGAATACCACAGCCCTTGTTTGGACTGTGCAGGAAGTGTGGTATGCAAATACCAGAGTCTTGTGGTTTAACCCAGCAGGCAGCTAAAACAACTGCACAGCTGTCTGCTCGATCCACCCCCCCCAGTGGGATGGGGAGAGAATCAAAAAGGAAGAAAAAAAAAAAACCCCGTAAAACTTGTGGGTTGAGATAAAGACAGTTTAATAGGACAGAAAAAGAAGACAATAATAATAACAACAATAATAATGATAAAAGAATATACAAACCAAGTGATGCACAGTGCAATTGCTCACCACCCGAAGCATATACTCAGCTAATTCTCGAGCTGAACTGCCTCCTGGCCCACCCCCCAGTTTATATAGAAAACGTGATGCTATATGGTATGGAATATCCCTTTGGCCAGTTGGGGTCAGCTGTCCTGGCTGTGTCCCCTCCCAGCTTCTTGGGCACCCCTGCCTTCTTGTTGGCAGGCCAGTATGAGAAGCTGAAAAGTCCTTGACTGCTTGGCAACAACTAAAACATCAGTGTGTTATCAACATTATTCTCATCCAAAACCCAAACCACAGCACTACACCAGATGCTAGAAAGAAAATTAACTTGATTTCAGCCGAAATCAGGACACAGAGGAAGGAGAATCTGAACTAAGATGGTGTTAGGAAACAGTAGAGCCACAAAGGACTCTTGTATTGCAGGATAATAACATTTTCACACCTAATACACCATTACCATAAGATACTGTGCTGTGCCATGTACGTTTTCTGGCATGGACAGTGCTAGCTAGCTCAGGTGCCTCTGCACCACTCACCATTCTAATGCGTTGACATGTATTTAATCTCCCAGTCTCAGAGTGATGCATCAGCTAATGTCAGAGATGTCACTATCAGGTTTTTGAGACATGTTTTGTATGGCTTTCGGGGGGGTGTGTGTGGGGTGAATAGCCCACAGTAGCCTGATGGAAGCGAGACTGCTGCAGCTCCATGCCCCCAGGGCCAGCCAACAATAAGGCTGAGCATGTACTCCTAGCGGGTACCACACGCAAATTCACATGCACAATACATACAGACAGCACTCACACAGACAGCACCAATGGCCTCATCCTATTCCCCTCTCTAGCTGATCAGGATGAAGGTCCATTAGTGGGAAAACCAGACACGTATGCAGTGTGGATCCCTGCAGCAGCCAGGCTCAGACAGTCTCCCCAGTTGCTGGCACATGGACATAGGAGCCCTTGAGGCTGCAACCCCACTCCTGTTGCTGATACAGACCCCTCACACACACACACACGTACGTACATTGTGGTCTCTGCGGTACCTGGCTTTGGACACACAGTCCACCCAGTAGCTGGTCCTGGAACCTTGGTCTTTCCAGGTGCCTCCCCCATGGAGACACCTTCGCGTGTGCACATGTGCACATGCGCACACACACGTGCTACCTTCTCCCATGGTCTTGCCTCTTCCTCACCCAGGAAAAGAGTTAGAAATGACATTTAATAAGACAGGACAGACTGTGGTGATACAGGACAGGGCACAGGGCATGGCCAGACAAGCGTACCTGTTTACACTTGACCAGCCCTTTTTATCCCTTTGTGCCTCTATTTTCCTACATCTATTCCTCCCCAAATCCCCTACACTCATCCCTTTTACCATTTTTGGTTCCTCTCCTAAATACTCCATAAATCTTGTGCAATCCTAAAATGCTTTTCCCTTGCATCCCATAATTTGTCCCACACCCCCAGGCAGTAACATTGATAGTTTAAAAGGTGACCTTGAGGAACAGGTGATCATGAGGGCCCTCCTGTTGCCTCATGGTGGTGGGTTTCACACCTGGGCAGGGGCTGAGGCACTCCTGAGACAGCTCTGGGAGGGCCCAGCCAAGGCATCCCTGTGAGCCCTTAACTGGGGTTCCCGCCTGCCATTGTGCCCCTGTGCTCCTCTGGGTTTGTGGAGATGGGCCTTTGATGGGGCGATGGCTTCTGTGATGGGCCTGGGAGTAGCTGGGCAGGGCGTCATTTGGGTTCTCCTACCTGCCCTCCTCTCTGTGGTCCTTTGTGTGTGTGCTTTTTAGCACACCCCTTAACAAAGGACTGTTACTGTTATTTTTTTTTTTGTTTTAATCTTATCCTAGCTACCACCTCTTAGAAAAACTCTAGCTAATGGAGAAGGCAGCAGCATGACTCCTTAGCAACGCAGGCTGCCAAGAGCGTATTAAGTCCTGTTCTCTGGCTTTTCATAGCACATTGGGCAAATTGATTGGATTTGGCCAGTAGGGAGTAAATTACAGAAAGTTGGCCATGGATATACAGTGCCAACTAACTATCCTGTATTTAGGTGGGTTCAAGCACCATTGCATCTGCATATGTACCTCTCCCCTCCTGAAAGACTGGCAGATAAGTAGCTTTCAGGCCATTTTTATTTTCATTATTCAGTACATTTAGTGCTGAAAAGCTACCTAGTGCTGACACAAAAGCCCTGACAGGCTGTGCCTTTCTGAAGAAAGGCATAGTAAGCCACAAACAACCGGCTGTAACCAGCATTGGCTCTGGTTCACTCGCCTACAAGTTCTTTGAGCTAATGCCCTCGAGTGCAGCACAAGCACCTACCACAGGGCTCTGCAGAGCCACAACCCAAGAGATTGCCCACCAGTCTTCACCATGAACGTGCCTGTTCCAGCAACCTCATCCACATACAAGAAAGCTATAGGAAAACACTAAGCCTGATTGTTGTTTGTTGTGTTGTTGGGTTTTTTTTTTTTGGTTTTTTTTTTTTAACTGCAGCTTTACCATGTAGGCACGAGGGTGGTCTTGGCTTAGGTGGGATTTATTAGGGCAGCTGGCAGTTCTCCAAAATAATGCAACAGCATCCTGAAACAAAAGCATAGGTGAAGAGACTGTCAGCACCAGTGGGCAATCCGGCAGGCAATAAACCACAAGAAAAGGTAATAAGGTAAATTATCAATACTATAGCATAGCTATCAAGCCACCACAGCAGGTCTTTTCACACAGTATAGAACAGATCCTCAGCTGAGGTAATCAATGCAGTCTCCATTATCAGATTAAAGGCAAGTAAATTAAAGGAAGATACCCATTTCCCAGGACCAAGAACTGCAGCTGGATTGCTCAAAATTGAGTGGAAGTGAGTTAAAGCAGCTGAGAAAATTCAACACAGATAAAAGTAAAATGATGTGTATGAGGAAAACATTTTCCTAAGCTGTTGTTATAATTACTGTTTCTAGGATGACTACAACCAATTAAGAATGAGACTTTAAGGTTATCTATATTTTAAGATCTGTAAAAACACATTGGTCAGAAGCACTGAAGAACAAAAATTAACTATTAGGAAATAGAGAACGGAAGTCATCATTTTGTGGTTATTTGAGATAGTGATGCCTTTTAATATGTATGCAGTTCTGGTCTCCTTGTCTCAGAAAGAATATAGTAAAACTGAAGAGAGTGAAAAGAGGAGCAACAGGGATGATCCAATTTACAGACCCTTGGAGATGGAACATGACCACAAAGGGTAGACTGCATAGATTAGGACTCTTAATCCAGACAATAGTCATCTATAAAACTATGGCTGGCAAAGTGAGGGTGAATTCTCTTTGCTCCAAAGCAAAAGCCTAAGAGGCATCAAAACTAGAAGGTGGCAGATTCAGCACACAACAGAGGAGATGCTGAGAAAGTCCCACTGTGGAAGTGTGGGACTTCTTGCCACAAACACTGTGGGTGCTGGGAGAGTATTTGGAAGGTGGATCATTATCTACTTGCCATACATTTATACTCTTTCTTTCCAAGACGGGAGCTATTGACCACTTTTTTGCAAGGGGGAGGTGTTTTTTTTTTTTAAAAAAAAAAATCTAACAGCACACAGGCCACACAGCACAGGGAAGTTTCTGGCATTATGTTGTCTCCTTCTCAGCAGTTTCTTAAGTAGTCCCACAGAAGCTGCTGCCTTCTCCTGCTGGTACCAGCCATCGCCAGTGTAGGAAGTTGTGTCTGCAATCATCCGGGTTGGCTTCTCCTGGCCCAGTGTCTGGTCTGCACATTGCTGCAAAATTGAGTCCCCCTTAGTGGTCCAACCTGCACAACGTTTCAAAAATGATGAAGTCACTGGCTACTTTGCCACAACAGACAAATATCCCAGTTAGGAAATGCTCTTGCCAGACAGGTAATAATGTGTTACGTTGTTTTTGAAAAGCTTTACATCCTTGATGTGCTAACTCTCATTTGTCCTGCTGATCTTTCTGATTTCTGTTTGGTAATGGCATCCTTTCAGACCATCTTGGGACACAGTAAAATCCATGAAGAGAACGTCAGGTACTTTGCCTGCTTTTTTGTCAGTCTGGTGGGACAGTTTTTTGTGTGCCAGTGCCTGGTAGCATGTCTGTATTGTACTGTGACTTCTTCTTTTTTTTTTTTTTAATGGAAGCAAATGCACCTGGCTATAGCTCTTCATCTGGCAGTGTTCTGTACCTACAAAATGAGCAAATCAGGGTTTTGAGATCTTACCCTGCTGCTGTTTCTAAGGTAGTTTTTGCACGGATACATACTTACCTTCCAACTTCTCTTACACTTTTCTTGAAGTTACTTTACTTCTACTTTTGAATCCCTGGTTATCGAGATTGTGCCAGTGCATTTGCTTTCTCTGGTATGTTCACATTCTCTGTGGAGTTACTGGTGTACAATCAGGTTTTGGTTTTGCTTGTGAATTAAATCTGCAAAAATTAAATTGGCTGCCTGTATTTTTAAGCCCAAATTGTGTCCATGCAAATCTAGAAGTCCTTGCACAGGGGCAGAGTATGCTGGATGTCACTGTACAGTGCTGGGATGGAGCAAGTAATCCCTGCCAGACCAGCCTGACAACTACAGAGCTACTGAGCATCTGTGCATCGCCCTTTTGAAGGCTTTATATTCCAAGAGCTTTGTCAGCTTGTGTGCAATATGGCACAAATGCACAGAGTAAGTCTTAACCTAATGCTGAATATGAGTCACTAAGTCCTTTCAGAAAACATGCAACTAGCCGCACATCATGAGGCTGTGACATTTCCAAAACCCACGAGGCTTCTTCTCCCCATGAATTAGCCAAGAAATGTCTGCATTGCAATGCTGTGTCTAAATCCAGCATGGGCACTCACCTTTCTGGGTGGAGGCTGGGATATACTTACTAGAAAATAAAAGTCAAGTTTGAAAAAAAAAAAACACCAAAAAAAAATCTATAAAAGAAAACATAGAAAAACAACAATGTGGATTTTTTCACTCTGAGTAAATAGAGTTCAGCTGCTGACAGTATCATGTTGAAGAGGTGCAAATGCTGCGTTTTGTCTTTGGAGACTGGCTGGCTTTAGGAAGGTGAAGGGTTGCCAAACCATTCAGGAGTGACAGTTATTAGACATCATGTTCTTCACTGTGAGGTTAAGGCACTCAATTGCAACGTACTGACCAAATACTGGTATGGGAAACTCTACCTTGTCTCTGCTCAACAGATTGCTGCTTTAACGATCAGCAGCTGCTGCAATTTTTTCCCCACTGCAAATCCTTTTTCTTCATTAACAGTTGTGACTTTGACTGCCTTGTCGACCCCCTCTCCTAGAAATGTCTCTGCTTTCTTTAACTGCATGCATAAATGCCCTTCCCTGCTTAACCTGTAGTGCTGGAATTTTGGGCAATTCATTTAATAACTTCACAAAAGAAATAGTAGGTTGGGAATATATTCCTGAATGTATTTGGGACAAAAGTCTATTAGAAATGTTTGGAAAGTGTCAGCATAAATGAAAGACAATTTTCATGCTTTTTTTCTGATATTAAAAACTAGTTTCAATTTTCCAGCTAAGGAAAAATAAATTTTTTTTGCAAATTTTGTGCTTGAGCATTTCAACGTCTGCCCTCTTCCTTCTTATTTGTAGTTTCATGTCAGGTAAGAGGAAGAGAATAAGGATCATTACATGTCAGCGCACTCTACTGCTTGATAAGGTAGCCTAAATTGGGCCCCGACTCCTCATTTGACGCTCTCACACTCTCCCATCTATTTCCTCGTGGGAAGTACAAAACTATATATCCAAATATACCAAATAAATCTATCTAAGGAGGGGACTCTGGCTTTAAAACAACTATTGACCTTGATTGCTGACGAATCTTTATACACTTCCTGAGAGATGTTTCTTCAGCGTTAACCAATACTTACAGCTTTCTGCTACCTTACCCTTACCTTGCTTGTCTTCTCTTTGTCAACTGCAAATACAGGTACCTGGAAATATCTCGATGCTGTTACCATGTGAGGAAACACAGCTGTGGTATGTTTCTTTTGTTTTAATGTATGTTTTTCTTATCTAACACAAACCTCACAAACAGTTCAGATGACAGTGCTGGTTTTGAGAAGCTGAGTATTAGAACACAACAGAGGGCCACGGGAAGTGCCCAGCCATCTTAGCCTGGCATCCGCTTTCCAAAATAAGATATCCCGCTGAGGTCTCAACTCTCACACATAGTTCCTGTCCTGCAAGTGCTGGCAGAGGTGTCAGCCTGCAGAGCTTTCCTGAGCATGACTTGAGGCAGGCCCTGAACACTGCTGCCTGCAAAGGCAACGAGGCTGCCACGCGCCATCCCAAAACCGACAGACTGGGGACCAAGGCAACTGGAAGGAAAAGGCGGATCCAGTCACTATACCGAGTACTTCCGTGGTCAGGGCAGGGTATGTGCAGACTGGCTGTGGCCCGAAGACCACGTTTACCAGGCATGAGGCAAGCAGCACATCTTCTGGACTGAGACGTGTCAAAGAAGACAACCTTTAGCACCTGGTGCAGAGTGGCAAGCTGGGGAGGACAAAGAACCTGCAGGATGATCTCAGTTGCATGTTGTCCTCAGGCAGTAGCCGTGTTGTAATATGTTTTAAGTGAATCAAAAAGGGTACAGATTCCATGTAAATTAGTAATCTCTGGAGTCATACAGATCTGTAATAACTACCTACAGATCAAGGGCATTTCATGTTTAGCATATTTTAATATCAAGATAGAATTAATGTTGTAATTTCTGTAATTAAAGTCTTGAAATTAGTATTTGGAAGAGACCAGTCTATTCTTCTATTTATCTGATTGAATACAGCCAATTTTTGAAGGATGTTTCACATCCAGGGGTACAATCAAGGTTTTGGTACCAGCTAGCCAGGATACAAAAGTTGCTGTAGGATTTTGTAGGTCACTGTAGGATTATCCCAGCTGGACGAACGGGACTCAGAAGGCCCACTGCCTATGATCATTCCCATGTATAGGCACTGAAGAAAATGACGTAAAAAGAAGAAAGCTACAAATGTTGGAATACCAACCTTATCTTCAGTCATTGCTGGCATTGCTTCTTGTTGTTAAGTAAGTTACTATTTTGATTGTGCTAAAAACTTATCTAGAGAAGTAAACCCAGTGAAAATATTCCTTAAAATGTTTCCATTTGCAAGTCTCAGTCCTTGAACCAAAGTAACCACTTTGATTTCTTTTCTGAAGCTTCCAATGTCCCCTGAAACCGTGAGTTGGGAGTGTTAAAAGTTATTTGAATTTATCTATTTATATAGTGCATCTATATCCATTTATATTACAACAACCAAGGGAAATTCTTCAGATTTTAGGCTTGATAATAGAGACATAGTTGTAATAATGATTTATTATCCTGCTCCCAGAGTTACCTCTCCAACATATTGCTACGGCTTTGAGCGTTAATGAAGGCTGGGCTGTGAGCTGCTCTGTCAGAAACTGACAAGGTTATTTTCTTGTGTAAAACTTTGAACACTGGGCAGAGCGCATTACAAAAACCCAGTAGGGTGGCTACAGCAGTTTATATTATCAGTGATTTGGAAAAAAAAAAAAATCTTGATTAACCTCTAAATGCTTTATTCGTTACAATGGTAGTGAAATTATGAAGCCGAGATACGGTTTAAATGTAGCCATGCATTGTGCACAGGATTGTGCCAGCTCCTCTCTGCCACATTTGTTTGGTGTAACGGTTTTAATGTAAACCAAACCTAAGATATTTCTGGCTGTTTCCTCACATCTCTCTTTTATCTTTGTCTAGCATCTCCAACTGCATGAATGGTCTTCCCTGAGGTTGTTGTTACTAGTGTCCTTTATAAATTCCCAATTTTTATTATATGCGTTGCCTGTAATAACTCCTAACTATAAAATAATCCTTTGGATTATAAAAGGCAGTGTTCTACATTATTTCTCAGAGAGGAGTTAACTCTCCCCCCTCTCTCTCTCTCTTCTTCTGTGGTTTACAGTATTGGTACAGTAAATACAGGCATTCATGAATTTAATTTGGTACCATCCTGCTACTACATCGAGAGATCACAAATGTGGACATGTGGTCCAGCACAAAGAAATATGATCAGCAAGTGGTGTCACTACTTTCCTGAAAGATCAGCCCCCGGAGTGCCTTTGAACATGGTGTCTGCCCACCCGCTTTTGACCTTTGCAATGGCCTGTGCAGGGAGTATTCAGGCTGTTGCACAACAAAGAGTTTGGTTTTAAAACCAGCTTTGGGATGCCCTCTGCCATCATCAGAGAGCTGCAGCTCTCGTCCACTGTGGCAGTCAGGACTTAAACCCAGCTTTCTGTGTCCTCCCTGACTAAATCTTAAAAAAATACTACGGCCAAATGTTCTGGCTTCATGGATGGAGTTGATGGGAAAGCATTTTACCCATGAACTCCAGGCAGCAAGGTGTTGTAGGGCACTGCTATGGCCTTAATCCCAGATGAAATGTGAAATTACCAAAATACACAATCTGGCGAGGGCTGAATAGTCCCAGCATCAAAAAGAGAATCTCATGGAAAAAAGAGATATGAATGCTCTCTCAAATTCCACACAGTGCAGCACAAGGGCTGTTTGCAACTGCTATGCAGTTTAGACAGAAAAAAAAAAAGTATTTTCCAGCTTTGACTAGTCCAATTGTAAACCCCCCCAAACGCTGCTTCCATTTTGTCCCTTGGGAGATGATTGAGAGCTCACTCACTCTGTATTTTCAGTTCACTCATGATACTGTATGTAAGGGGAGCTCCCCCCCCCCCCAATTTCATATACTATTTTGCCTTCCTTCCTGTCCTTGTTGCCCACCCCAAATACCCTCTGAAACCACTAATTTTTTTTGGTTCAAACAACAAGGCTAAACAGGTGAAATTTTAAATAATGATTGAGGATTTTTTTTATTCATTTAAGTTTCAATATCATTACAGAAAATGTTATGGTACAGAGTTGTTTAACATTAGTTTTATTTCTTTGCTCATTTAATTTCCACACGAATGCTGGTAACACTAATATCTGTACAAGATCAGTCTTTGATTTTTTTTAGGTTTTAGTTCTGTACATTTTTAAATGTATTGGTTAAAAAGGCTGTCAGCACTTAAGGAAGCAATTTTTTTGTTTGTTTGTTGAAATAAAAGGTATCCAGTTACTGCCCAAGAGTACTGAGCTGGGTGGCTGCTGGGACAAGAGAGATCCCTGAATGCACAGCGAGGTGGGAAAACCTCGGGGCTTCATTGGGTTCCCAGTGCAGCCACTCTGCTTTTGGCACTGTGCACATCAACACGAGATACAAGATAAAGAACAAGCAGAAGCTCTCTGTGAAGCGGTTATGAAGCATACTAATAAGGGAAATCCAAGTGTTGTCTACGCTAGTATAAATAAGCAGACAGCCTTGTTTTAAGAGCATAAGTAGTTGTATCTCAAAGATGAGAAAAAACACAAGTTCTGCAGGCACCTACTGCTGTCTACTAAAAGCTACCGCTATTAGAACTAGCATTGAACACACAAAGCAATTGCAAGGAAAGGAAAAAGTTGCTTTGATATAATCAGAATAAATTTCTTTGTTAAGATTTGTTTTAAAGTTTTTTTTAAAAGGTATTTATTTAAATTCCATTTGAAATATAATTCAAGATGTTGACTATACTGATCAACTTTTATCCAAATCAGAAAAACTAGCTGTGCCGTTGCATATTACAGGATACAGTCAATGATATGTGGACATGCATCAAAGCTTCGCTCTTGCTGGTGACATCATAGCCTTCCAATGACCATGACATCCACCACCTCCCCCTTGTGAAGCTCCACATACTGCTCTGTCTTTGGAGGTAGCATCAACAGTCCATTGGCACTACGCATACTCATCAGACGACTGCTCATCTGATTCCCTACGGGAGAGCAAGAGAAAAATTTCAGTTAAGTTTTCAGTTAGTTGGTTCAAATGCTGCAACACACCACACGGGAAACAAGAGCTGTTCTTATGAAGATGTTCATGTTGCTAACTTATTCATAGAGCTGGGATCTCGCTGTTCCAAGGTGGATGGAAACAGAGAACTCTGTAGCGAATTAGTCATCCCCTGGCTCTCAAAACTCTCATTCCCTTTGCTGATTGCTCTCCTATCCAGCCTTCCACATTATCTGTACCTCATATCTTGTCATAGGAAATTGCTTTTCCGTTGGAATTTCTTATCCTATCAAAATTACTTTATTTTTCAATTTGTATACCTAATTCCGATTGTACAAAGCCTAAAACCAGCACAGTCTAGAATGTTTTTAATATGCTGTTATAGAATAAGTTTGATTAACTGTATTCTTCTCTCTGAATAGTCTCATTTAGCATTAGTAGTTTAGCACTAGTAGCTAATGTAGTTGAAGTCTGAGGCCACAAGAACTGAAGGAGAGTAAACTTTTTGAGAAAACTAATGCTGCTAACACAGAACTAGCCGGATCTGGCAGATGTGAGCAGAGTGAAGAAGGTAAGGACCAAGGAAATTCCAAGACGATGAGGTGACTTCAGAAGGCCAGCCCAGCGACAAAGAAAACCAGTAAGAAATCAAGAGACTACCAACCAGAATTAAGTGATTGGACTTGGGCATCAGGCACTGGGTGGTACAGGTATAACTGGGGGGCATGATCGGGGGTAGGGGTCCCTCTCCCGAGGCACCCAGCTCAAGCTGTAACCTGAGAACTAATAAAAGAGGAATTGGAAACCTTCACTTGGACTTTACATTTCTCAGCAGGATCCTAGGGTCGGACCTTGCTACGGTGGCTGGCTGTGTAAATCCATAACATGTACCACCTCAAAAGTATGAGTTTCTTTGGGAGACTGAGCTTCACCATATGTCCTGAAGATAAACAGGATCGTATTGGTAGTACTGACAAAAAATGAAAGTGCAATAAAAAGTCATGCACTTTAGTTTCCCGGTTTTCAAACTTCCAAACTGACAGAGAAATCATTCCAGACAGTCTGCCTAAGGAAAGAAGTGGTGCACAACAGAACAGAGTTAAACCAAATATACAGCATTACAGGTGTAAGTAATACCTTGACTCACACTTGGAAATATGTCAGAGGCTGTGTGATCTTGGGGGTCAATGGTAAGAACTTTCTCTGAGTGAACAGTAAGATGCATTTGAGCTCATGTTTTCCCTGTGTGTATAGTGCTTTGTATTGAACAATTTGAATGTAGCAAAAAGACAATTATTTAAGGACCTGAATCTCTTGAGAAACTCGCAGAGTCAGTCCTCTAGCAGCGTGCAGCTAAAAGACTATTCAAATACAGTATTTACCTCAACTGCAGCTGTGTATCCAGAAGTATCCCTCGGTGGCAAACACAACTAATAAAAGTCTCAGTCTGCTTTATGAGAACATGTACAGCCTCTGCTATCTCTTCTACTTTTCCAGTTCAGCTAGAATCACACTTCTTTTATTTGTACTGTTCCTACCTATGCCCCAGCTTGTGTTTGTTTAGTACGTGCACAAGAGCAAAAGTAAGCAAATGTGCCTGTGAGTGCAAGGAAGCATGGGTGGAAATTTATAAAAAGGAACGTGTGCACATATGCAAGCATACAGGTGTATTTCGAGAGAGAGTGAGTGTGTGTGCGTGTGCATACAGGCAGGTTATTCAGATAAAGGAAGTTTTAATGGTTAAGTTGGTAAGTCATATCATGACTGAATTTTATACTAACATACATGTAAGCAGGTGCACAAGTATGTCAGCAAATCAGACTGCAGAAAGAAGGTTATATGAAAAAAACATGTGCACAGGCTTAGTTGTTTTTAGACATATATGTAGGAAGGCAAGGCCTTGTGTGAGTGTCCATCAGTCTGCGTGACTGGGCACTAACCTGTACTCTGTGCCCAAGGTAGTGGTTCTTGGTGATGCCAAGTCAGTATGCACCGATGATATTCTGGGCGGGGGTCCAATTTTACATCACATGATAACTGTTGGAGAAGCAAAGAAAGGATGAAAATGTCATGTATTCAGATTGTGCTCAGGTAACAGAATCATCTGCTCAGTTGTTTTTCCTTAAAAAATCTTTTTAAAAACTTGCATTTTGAGGTCAGATGGTGTCTAGTGCAAGATCAAAAGCTGTAGAAGGTAGAGACTGCAGTATTTAAGGGAAACACAACCATGATATTATAATATCAAAGAGTATGATGGAGTCTACATGCATTAAGTGGAATATTCCAAAGCTGTTCCTTTACTGGGAGTTTAAAGATAGTATTTTTCTGGAAAAAAACTTTATTGTTTCTGGTCTCTGGGTTACACTGCATAAAGATAAAAATTTTATTCGCATTCAAAATCCTGCTAGACCTGACAAGAGGGAAATGGCCAGTCTTTGAAATGAAAAGACATACAGGGGATGGCTCACAATGGAAGTTAATGGAACACACTGGAAAATTCATGCAAAAGTGAGGGTCACTACAAATTGCTCTCCGTTTTAGAATATTCTAGCTGTGAGATAAAAGAAAAATCTGGATGCCTGAGGAAATGCAAAAGAGAGACATGGGATAAGAAGAGAAAAGTGCATAGCCAAAACCACTAGGAAAACTATAAAAGGTAATGTGTTCCTTGGTGCTTTATTTGAATCAAAAATAGAAGAATAATACATTATAATAACATGCCTTGAATCTATATTAGAGTTACAATATCCATGATTTCTTATAAGAGTGAAATGAATAGTTTAAGGAATTTATATTGCTTAGGGTGAGGGTCATGTGGGTTACTTATATAAATAACTCAAGAACAGAAAGGCCTTTAAGTTTCTATTTTCTATCACTAATACAGAAGTATCCAACTCTTCCAGTAGTCCCAGATTACTCTGCATTTTTTACCACAGGTTAAAACAAATGTGTTTTCTTTTTTAAACAGGAAAGTGTCCTTCCTGCGTGACTGGCAAATGGCTGCCTCTGCATCTGTATATCTTGTTCCATTAGATGGTCATCTAACTCTTAGGAATTATGGGACTGAATGTTACGATTAACAGAGATTGAGAATGTACCTCTCTTCTGTGTGAACTTCCTTCAACTTGCCAGAATTAGTTGAAAGCTCAGATTCCCCAAACAAGACAGCCTTTCAGAGCCCAGAGGGCTGTGCTTCAGCATCTTGAGAGAATTTTTAAATACAGGACAAGCTTCTTACCCTGGCTTTGATGATGGTGGGTCGAGGATCCAGGATACCCTGCATTTTCCTCAGTGCGGGAACAACAAAGAGATTGCAGGTGACAACAGCTGACACAGGGTTGCCTGTAGGACAAAGAACAGTTGGTGGTGACTCCCTCTTGATTTACTTTGTGAAATGCTGAAAGTGATCTCATTTTTATAGCAATTGCACTCGAAAGGACTCTAAAGAGCTTTTCATGCTATGTACAGCAAACATGTCATTCCAGACTGGAGCGGCACATGGCAAGTACACCTGGTGAAAGCTACACTCTCTGGCTGGTGGTGTGCTGAAATCCTGCTCTGACCAGAACTGCCCCATGTTCCTCGTGCCCCACCATTTGCCTCTGTTCGTCCATTGCCTTTTGTCTTATGCCCAGATTTGTCTGGGGCCGGGCAGGGTTTATTGCGCATGGGTATAGGTCATAGCTCATAGGGCTCTTGATTCATGATTCAGGTTTCCAAGAACTATGGAAAAATAACTTTCAATTCCCTAACAAAGTAGTAGAATAGTTTAGTGCAAATTCTGAGAATTCTACTGATTTATACGTTTTCTGTTGACTCACAAGAGAGATGTATGACCAACGTCTGTGAAACACCACTTGTCTTACACATCTGGACTTTCCTAGATGACAGTTCTAGAATAAATACTATGATCAGATGCTCCATTGATCTCTCCCCTGGAAGAAAATGTACTGCAGCAACTAAAACAGGAGAGAGAAAAAGCACTAGAGATACATCTGAAAACCACCAGCTTATCAAGAACAGGATTCCTGTGTAGTCAGAAATCCATGCAAAGCCAGAGCAATAAGAATAAAATAAATTCCTCCTGATTTAGGAGGATAGAGATTTGTAGCCAGATCCCTAAGGAAATGTTTATTCTGAACATGGTGATTTCCCAAGGTGAGGCAGCATGCAGGAGGTGAAGAGATGCTGCCCTCTTTTGGTTCCACAGTATGATAAAGATAAAAAAAATAATTCTATGACATGTTCCTTGGCACTCCCTCATTTTTGTCTCCACTTTCGATACTTCAGAGTGGATGCACTGACTTACACTCAAAGAATATTTACTGTGAAGGTGGAGGGAGCTGTTGGAAAAGACCACCCCTGCATAGTACCACTTATGAAACCCAAGGGAATTGTTGGATGGAAGAAATCCTAAGGCCTGTACACTGGCAAATTCTGAGAACAGGAACAAGAAAGAATTCCTTAGTATATAGTCTATAAGTTCATCTATTCTGGAAATTTCTGGGAAAACCTTACAGATACCTTCCTTAGGGATGCCAACACCAGACATAGAAGCTGTGAAACGTCACTATTCTGTTTCATGTCTCTCATCTATGCACAGCAACAAAAGTAATCCACAGAACATCTTACCTGGGAGCGCAAAGATTATTTTTCTTACGCCATCAATATCCAGAGTTGCAAAAGTTGTTGGCAGGCTATGGAAAAGGAAAGCTGTTTAATATCTGCACTAGACTTTGAGTGAACTTTATTACATTATTATTTAAAACATTTGGAAAATAAACCAAAACAGGATCTCTTTCTCTCTCAGCAGTTCATTAGCAGCTACTGCTTATTCCATACTGGGGGTGTAGTCCTCTCTTTGTGATGATGGAACAATTAGGTTTTCTTTTTAAGTAGCGATTTTGCTTCTGGTGAGGAAATATCTAAGAGCAGATGAACTAGTAATCAAAAATCTAAATCCTGTCTTCATGCTAGAAGACAATTAACAAGGAAGTAATACTGAAATTATGCAGTTACAGAGCTGTATTTGTTTTTCATACAGGGGTCTCCAAATTTTTTGTCACATTAGTGATTCTAATTTCCCCTACTCCATTGTCCAAAGCCATAGCGACTATGGAGCAGTATGTCAGAGCAGCAAACGCTAGCTAGTCTGCAGATGACCAAATTCAGATACACAGGCAGAGCTGCAGCCAGGTAAGACCTAGTCTATCAGTAAAGAGCGCTCTGCCTGTCAGAGCTGCTCCTGAGTGATCTTTAGCGACTTGTTACCAGGGCTATTACAGTTCTACAAACAGGACAGTAATGTGATGGCTCAAGAACGTGGCTGGCAAAGAAAAGGGACTCATACATTAAAGTTTTCTATATACCTATGTTAATATCATCCTTTTAAACATTAGAAATAATACTTTATAAGAGCAATAATTAGGCTGAGTTCCTTGGCTTCACCTTGAGCTAACAACTATCACCTGGTCAGCAGATGATAGTTGCTGGCCAGCAGCAGCTTTGGAGATTTGCCATGCTTCGATGGTTACTACCTAGTATCTGCTAGGACTGATCGATATCCTGTTTTACCAGGGGAAGTTGGTGTCTGAAGTAAAATGTCTCTAACATAATGGGAACTATGTGCCAGACCTCCAAATCTTAAAACTAGCGCACAAAGTGAGGTACAAAAAAAACCTAATTGCTAATTCATATTTACTGGAAACTCTGAATTCTCATATGAGACTTCAACACCATCATTGGTAAAGACTTCCAGCACTTTCTTCTGGCAGTGCTGCTAGACAAGGCACAACCTTACGTCAGCTCAGCACCTTTGATCAAGTGGAGGAATGGTAAAACCTAGGCAGCGCTCTGCAGTCATGTAGCAACATCAAAATACAGGCATTCAAAGCAAATTCTGGCTTTGCTCTTGGAACTTACTCAAGGGAAGTTTTCTCAATATAGTAATCACCTATCTAAGGCTTTTTAATACTGAATTAATAAAAACTAAGACACAGTATTTGCTGTTGCGCTACAGCCAATGAAAATGAGAGTGCTTTACATTCTCAGTAAGATTAGATGACCAAATGTTTTGGTAGCAGTAAGAAATGTCTTTCTTATGGTATAAAATGAAAATGGATGTTTGGGGAAAATAAGATTTCTTAAAGCTTTTCTGGCTAGTTATTAAAATCTTATTGTTGCAAGTCTACAGAGGGATCACCAGAAGAAAGAATTACGTTTGCTTTCAGATAAGCCACAACCAGAATTTAATATTCTGAATTCTCTAAATCAGGTTATTCATTCTCCTCAGCCGCAGAGGCTGGAGTGCAGATCCCATGTTTGGGACTTCCCCACATCGGTTGTAGCAGTATGACAGAAGCAGTGAGCAATTTCCACGCCTGGGCTACATCCAGCACGGGAAGAGACATGCTTTCAGCTCGCTTGTCCATTTTATGGAAGGGAGGTGGTGGTGTAGTAGCAGCACAAGCACCAAACCCACGTGCAGTTCTTTACTGGATTGTATGCAGAGAGAGTAAAAGTATTTGTCTGTTTTCACAGCAAACACCCACTTTCTGTTCTGCTCCCTGGCAACAGTTATGGGCTAGAGGGAATCATTCCTCAAAGCTGCACTTGGCCTTGTGTTACCGGACCGTGCCAACCAAGCCTGAAACAAACTGCACTCCGTGGTTAGTGGGGCAGAGCTGCAGACATCTCTCTGCTACTGTACAGTGAAAGGGAACTCTCTATTTTCAATACATGTAGTTCTCATCTTCTCTACAAAGAACACTTCCAGACTCATTAATTAGCAGTGCTACAGCGAAGGAAAGCAATGCTGAAACAGTTTTCTGAGGCAAACTAAACACATAAAGGATGGTGTTTACTTTAAAATTACTACGTTCGATATGCCAATTAGATAAAATCGTGTAAATTAGCTGTCATTCCACCTCTCTCAAGAAATTGCTTGCTTGTAGGAATATGGTTTATGCAAATTTTGAAGTGAAACGAGATGCTCGTTAAGCAAACCAGAGTTAAATGTCTTTATATTTCTCAGTTATTTCGTCAGAATGTCTATATCTGAGTTCTGTGATCACAGTGAAGGCTGTGGCCATGTTAATACCATGCTGGTTTCCCCCCAATCCCCAAACCTGATTTGCAACAGTTATCAGAGAAATATCTCTTACTGATAAAAAGTAATCTCTCTGTTCCAGTTAATTTCACCCATGAAGATGATGACTAATCTGAATAGCACTGATTTTCCTTCTTTTCTCATATATATCTACCATGTGGTTTATAGTATATTTGGAAAACTCAAATCTATTGAAGCTTTTATATAGGATATTTGGCCCAATATAGCCTCCACCTATGCTGCCTAAATAGAATGATTTCTTACCCTGGTTTCATAAAAACTCTGCCAAAGTGAATCTGTGCGTGAAGATCAATATCCAGCACCTGTTTAAGATAGTCCTGTTTAAATTCAAAAAAGAAAATCGATTAAGTAACATCAAAGTGGCTTACATCATCTAAGCATTCAAAGCAATTAATTAATATCAAGTGAAGATGAAAGACTTTTCATATCCTGAAAGTGCTACAGTCCAGTGGGGAATTTCCAGTATTGGAAAGAAAGTGTTTTCAAAAAGAAGAGGTGAAGAACAGACTCATTTTAGGTGCCAAACCTGACTCCATGAGGACACAGTAATATATTTACTTGTTTATATTTACAAGTCATCTGCAGCATCAGAATCTTAGAGGACCCCACAAATACCTACTACTGAAACATTCTCTATGATGTCAAAGATGGAAAAGAGCCTTTATGGTTCAAAGTTAAGACTTATAATCATCAAGTTATTTAACTTTTGCCATGGAAGCTATCTAGCAGTAGAGTCAGAGATGTCCTAGTACTTTTGAAACCAATACTGTACTGTAGAAATCATAGTTTTCCAGGATACTGTAATTATTGTAATTTCTTGGGGACATGGTCTAATTCACAGTGGTTGGGTTTAACAGTCCTTAGAAAGGAAAAACTGTGGGTGGCCTCTGCGTTAGTTCAAGTTAAATGATTTTGCATAAACACAATCGATCCAGTTATTAAAACAAATTGAATTACTTGCTTAGTCTTTATTGAAAATTGCTGTGCTCAAAGATGTAGTATCCTGTCTGTTGTGTTTAGTGAGATTAAAGACACAGGACATAAGAGTCATCTGTGAAGAGAGACTTTGGAAGCAGTAAATCTGAAGCCCCCTTGCAGTTTTCCCATCTTTCTCTCTTTTTGTTTTTGTTTTTTTTTTTGGGGGAGGTGGGGGGGAAGAGGGGTGGTCAAATACTTGGAAAGCAGCAACTTTTTTCAGCCAGGCATGAATTCTCAATTATTGATTGCATTAACCCCGTTTTTACTTTCTATTTACTTTTTGGATGTTCAGAGGTTTTTCATTAAAACTGTTGAAAGCTCAGTATCACAGGGCTAACCACCAGTAGAGCCTATTCACTTCATGCTGTTGCCTGAAATTCAGACTGGGGAGAAATTAGCCAGAAGGCATAAATGCCTATAAGACCATTCAGCAGTCCGGTCAGTTCCGAGTGTTCCTGTGTCTGCACTATGTCGCCACGTTCCCAATTTAAAGACTAGCACTTGTCCTTGATTATTTTTCTAGGAATATGGAGGAGAATAATGGGATTGAAAGTAATTGGCACTGGGGTAACTAGTTATCCATTTTCATGATGTATCCAACAATATGATTTCTACTCAGAAAAGTGACAAAAACAGCACTCATGTTTGCCATCTCCTAACGACTGTCTTTAGTATCTGTTAGTTATAAAAGGAGAGATGTTTCTTTTACCTGCCAAACTCACAGATTCAGCCTGGGATCAAAAAGTAATCTGAGTTTTCCTTCGCATAAGTCATGATTAATAAATGTCCTGCAGGTTCATCTACGCCCCACCAGCATCTGTGTATCCCTATTTTCTTTGATGGTTTTGGCACAGGGATTACCAACAGGAACTCAATCAACAATTCTGTTAATGATTCAAAAGGCAAATATATCAGCTCACTGTGTCTTGTATGTATTGCCTCTGTAGGACTATCAGGCACAAAATGTGATAAAACTATTTTTGTAACGGATATAGCTTTGGCATATTCAGGAAACAGATCTGCTGAGTAAGAAAGAGCTATTTATATACTCAGGTTGCTTTTCGAAGTATTTTCAAAGTAGCTTTATTCTATCTACATTTTACCTGCTCTAAGAATAAAAGGACGTCTGTTGCCTTCATGTGCTAGTAACCAAGCACCTTCCTCATCATAACTACATAAATCATTCCTTAAATAAAAACACATTTGTAAATCATTCACATCAAGAATTAAAATCTTCCCTGTTGTACTATGTCTACTATAGTATGGTAATAAGAACAAAGGGAATGAGGAGAGCATTGAAGACTATTTTCTTAATTAATTCACATTTAAGTGTTCCAGAAAAAGTAAGATCCCTTTTTAATAAACATTAATACAAAGGTGGAAGCTCTGACGACAGACTCTGGCTTGAAATTCTTACATATATTGTAGCAAGTCATACTTAAATTTAGCATACCTTTTCCCCCATAGATACACCTCCTGATGTAATGATCACATCAGCACGGCTGATACCCTCATTCAGTGCATTCAGTAAATCATCTGGGCTACAGAAAAGAACAGGCAAGCAGATTAGTGACATGGAACTGTTATGAGTTGTAGCGTAAGTAAATGTCTGTGTGCGCACATACAGATGTATATACAGACACGTATTTAAAGAAAGAGATACAGCTCTAGGATAATATTTTTTCCTTCTTAAGACTCCACACTGCTCTATTCAAGTCAAGAATTGCAATCTCATTAAGCAAACACCACACCGTTCAGCACCTTTCTGTCTAAGAGCTTTGCAACAGGAACAGTGGGATACTTTAGTCTGGGACTGAAGAACACTAATACAAGTGTCTGAAAGTCTGTAATCTGCACAGTAGGTAGCAATACGAATTATGATTTAGATGAACTGGCAGGGCTATATAAAGGGACCTGACACATGAAAATTACTGGCCACCAAGCAGGCTGTGGTTCCACCTGTCCAGCTCATTTGATGTGTGCAAAAACGGGGGTAAGGCTCCACTTCAAACTTCCATCAGCGAAAAGTGGGAGTAAATCCTTTGTTTCTCTTCTCCATTAGAGGGCTCTGCAGCAAAGCCAGCTGTGCATCCACTTCATCTTGAAAAACTACAGTTCATCCTGTTCAACTGTCTATTTACCTTCACAAGAAACAGTGTAAGCGGAGCTGTAATGTTCCTCCACACACAGAGTATAAATGCGAAGGTGAAAGATAAAAACAGAGTATGTTTCAGTTTTGGTGTCTTAAATTTTTTTTTTTTTTAGATCTAAACTGGAAACTTTGAAGTGGGCACTAGCTATCAAACAGCAGTACTGATGCTAATACAGACCTTCAAGGCATGCAGTGGAGAAACTCGGTAATACAACTTACACAAGATCAAAGGAATCCAAGATCATTTCCACTATATTAAATGCATACTTTGCATTTAACATTTGTGTACTGACCAGAAGCTGACTGATTGCTATGACTGCATGTAATGTTGCTTTAATAGTATGTTTTTACTTTAATGATCTTGAAAGCTTTTCAGGGGAGGCTGTTGCAATTGAACGAATGGGTCAATAATGCCAGTGACTGTATAAAGGACTTCTCCTGGAGTACAGCACCCCAGTTAAATGCCACACTACAATCACAAAATGCCATTATGGGTTATCAAGGGTTTGCAGGCTGCAAATGGCATGTGGGCTATCCTTTGGGAACTTTGGCTGTACATGCCTAAAAGATAGAATCACTGTAGTTATTTTGGGGTTCAAGCTGGAAACAGGAAAATTAGAAATACTATGCAAGTCACAGCTGACCTTTCAGAGACTAACAGAAACTGTGTGGTTCAAAAGGTGTCAGAAAGAAAAATCCTTTCCTCTGAGCATCCTGTCTTTGCCCATGGTTTAGTGAAATATAAGCAGCAGTTAGCATTACGTGGTGCTGTGTGCACTACAATTTCCATGACACAAGAAATATCACTTGGTATCAAGTGAGGTATCAAGAAATACCCTCACTGAGTAGGTATCTCAAGCGTATGCAAACCTGCACACTCCTCATCTCCTCGCCAGAGAGCCCTCAAGCGTCCCCTACCCTGGTTATGCCTTATAGGCAGAAAGACTCAAGACCCGTTCTACACCATGTCCAGTGACTGATGTAGCACCTTCTTTGGCATCACAGTGTGCTTATCCTGCAAAACTTTTCTATTTGTGTTGGGTTAAACCCACTTTTTAGGCTCATATTGCTTTGTAAGAGGTAGGCAACAAACTACAGCAGAAAGAAGGGCAGATTGCTGGTGCCATTGTGTAGGCTGTAATCAATCAGACAGAATTATACACTAGCATTTTTTAAAGGAAACAGTGGCTGCAGATATTGTGGCATGCCTCCATGACTTTTGGTTAGGGTATTGGGTAACTTGGATACTCTAAATAGCCTGTAATGAACAGTTGAACTCTCTTTTCTTTGGGAGAAAATATAAAACGTATGGACTCAAGCAAAACCATCTCCTTCTTTGTTCTTTAGGAAATAAACACATTTTCTCAGCTGCCCCTTCTGAAATCTCAGGATCATTTTACCTAAAAACCAGCACAAGTCTTCACTAGTTGTTGAAGGCAAGAGGAAAGAAGCAAGTCTCTTGTTGGCTACTGTCCCTGTTGTCTTCAGAACCAACTGAACCATATTGATCGTCTAAGTAGCAATTCGTATGTAATAAGATATTGCTTAAGATTATTATAGAGTTTGCAATAGCAAAAGTCTCTCAAGATCTAAGTATTCCTTAATCCTTGCCAATGAGGGTGCCGACTGGAATGCAGCAAGAAACATGTATTCATTACACAGGTCGATATAGGCCTTCCTAAAGCTCGATAACGGTCAGACACTCATGCCACTATTCCTAGGCTAAGACTGCTTTCAGTATATTTTTCTCATTAGGTTGCGATGCAGCTGAGAACCTTATCTGCAGCTTGCTCCAGGCTGTTTCATTTTATCTTGCATAATTATTTAAAAGTTATTCATAGGTAGCAAGACCACCTGTCTGGGGACATCTTAATTCTGGATTATGAAGTGTTCTTGTTTTTGGTTGTGGTTTGAGAATAATAGAAGGAACAGTAAAAAGCAAACAAGTACATATTTAACTGTTGTTAAACGGAATGGAAGTGCTCCTGCTTATATACCGAAAATATATGTGTGTATATATATAAAATTACTTAACAAAGGCAAAAAAACCCCAAACCCAAAATAAGCCTAAACTCAAACCAGGTGAGGACTCAAGTCACACCTTTGTTTATGAGGGTAGCACACCACTGGAGTAGTTCATCATACTGATTTTTATTACATGTCATGTAAAAAATTGAGGATTACTGGACTTGGTGCATTTTTTTTAGCATTTCCAGTAGAACGACCTGTACAATACATCCCTTTATCATCTGTATAATGCAAGACATTTAAGAATTCTACACTAAAACTTTATCCAATGAATAGCACCACATATCATCTTTAGATAGCTGCAAAATGCATTGAATTCTATCAAAATGAAAGGTGTGATAGAAATTTTGTTGTAAAAAACTGAATGGTTATGTTCATTTGGTTATTTTTCTGAAGAAAGGAGACATTTACAGAATTCCCTCCCTTGCCTTTGCAGAAGGCTTCTCTCTTTTTGCTGTATGTGGCACATTTTTGTGTCACTCAGGTCGGCCTGACTTTCTATCCTACATGAGGCTGGTAGTTCCATGACTCTGCAATTAACACAAAACACTCCTTCCAGGAGTCACCTGCTGTAATCTTCAATCAACACTGCAGCAAACATTTTCCTTGTCTTTAGTGAATCTAATGCAGAGAGTTATCAGTCAAATTGCATATTAACACATATTTGATATAATCAGATAACAAGATACTACTTCTCATTTCATTTGTTGTATGACAATAAGCAGCTTCTCCTTTGGATTGACATGGAAGGGGAATAAATAATTGAAGACTATTAACTTCTGAAAGAAAATAACTTCGGCATCTGAGCATAACAGGACAAGAATGTTCCAAAAGCCCTGGTGCCAAATCACCATGAAGCTGAGAAATAACACTCACTGTCTGAGCAGGTACAAATCAGAAGCTGTATTTTGAAGCCCTGGCCATTGCTAGGGGCAGGATACTGGATTAGCTAGACTAATGGTCTAATTTACTACGATAAATCCTTTAAAATGTCTTGTGAAAGTGCTATTCTTGGATTTTTTTTCCTTCATGGACAGAACTGTAACAGGTGCTGAAATATAATGGTAAATACCTTAATCAATGTAAAATAGATTTTGATGGGAAGTCTCATTTCCAGATGGCAAAACTATTCTGTTTCATTTGGTGATTTTCAAAGTCAGAGTGACATTGTGCACAAGAAGGGAATGTGCTTTTCTAACATGCTGCAACTGATTAAAAAAAATTATACTCTCTGTATGTTTCAGATCACATCCCACCATCTTCTGTAAATGCAACTAAGAAAATCTGTTCTATAAGGATTACACACAGTTTACAAAACTATTCATATAGGTAGGTAAGCACAAATCCAAACTTCCTCTCAACAATACAAATCTCCATCTACTGCAGATTGTGTCTGCACAAATATTATGTATATCGTACATACATTTTTGAAGCTGCAGACATAATGTTTTGCATAAAGAATCCATGTATTTTAAGTATATCTTTATATGCTCTGCTACTTTGCCAGTCGGATAAACAGAGTATCTGCTTTACTACTTCAATTTCCTGACCCTCTTTATTCCGTTTTATGGAACAGAGTAAGCAGTACAATCTGGAAATTAGTTGGAGGGTATCTATCTGCTGTACAGTGGCAGCAGCATGCGTAGAATCCAGTAAGGAGATGCATGACATTGCAGTTGACATGCCATTTGATTTCCTTAATTTGACGAGAGGGCTTGCAGGATGGCACTATACCAGAATAGAAACACCTTCTGGATTCATGAAAAATTCTGATTATCAAAGTTAGTTTGTGGAAAACTGTTAATGCAGCACTTGATTACTGAGCTGTCTTTGAACTGAAAAGATACACAGGAGCTTAAGAGCTTGAACAAGAAAATGATGCAAGCCTCATTAAAATAGACATCAGCTATGTATAAGATTTGTGCCTTTATCTCTCTCTCTCAAAAAAAAGCTACAGTACAGTCAAGACCAAAGAATTCTCTATGTTTTAAGTGCCATTTTGAAGTACCTTAAATTACAGGGTAATCTTCTCTTTCAAATAGAAATCAACTTCTGTTAATTCACTTCTGTTGATCCTATTGTTGTGCTTCACTGTCATTAATTATAAATCTGTCAGCCTTTTCTGTGATACAACCCTTAACATCAGCAGTTTAATACATGCAATTAAACTGCTCAGTTTTATAATTTAATTTAGAAAACAAATAACAACAAATGGTGATCTGCATCACCTACCACTCTGCAGTAAAATGAGTGATCCCTGTAAAATCGAAATTATCAAGCCGTTGTCACAGTACAAAATCCATAGTTCATTACTAATTTCCAGGACCATTTCCACCAAGTTCTCTGCCACAGTATTCTCAT